ACCAGCCTGGGCTACAAAGTGAGCTCAAGGCCAGACTGAACTGCATAGCGAGACTCTGTCTCAAAAAGACAAAAAAAAAAAAAAAATACACAGTTAGATGATCTCATACTCTAAGAAGAAAAAGAAGATGCACTACAATGTCCATCCAATGTGCAAAACACATTTGAACAATGAAGAGGCCAAAGTAAATGGCTTACATTTTTTATTTATTTATTTACTTTTTTTTTTTTTTTTTTGAGACAGGGTCTCACTATGTAGTTCAAGCTGGTCTTGAACTCACTATGTAGCCCAGGCTAGCCTTGAATTCATGATGATTCTCCTGTCTCAGCCTCCTGAGTACTGGGATCACAGACATGCACTACCATGCTCAGCTCCTTACATTAACTTTATATATATGTGTGTGTGTATATATATATATATATATACATATATATATACACACACACATATATATGTGTGTTTTGGTATTGGGAACGGAACTCAAAACTTTATGCTTGCCAGGCAGGTGCTTATGCTGCTGAGCTACATCCCCAGCCCCTTACCTTCACATTAAATGATGCCAGATAGGTTGTGGAAATATACATCCTATGTGTGTGGTTTATTTTTTCTCTATAATCGTCTAATTATTATCTGACATTTTGTGTCCTTTTGCTATCGTACTAAGTCTTAGCAGGATGCCTGTATCACTTGACTCTCAAAATATGGCACTTCAGTACAAAACAAACTTGCAGACTCAGGTAATAGGACCCTGCACTTAGTGAATTAGTCAATATCCAGTAACTGCATGGAGTTAGGCAACTCAGATACAGAATCAGTCACTTAAGTGGCATGTAAATTAAGCCGGGCATGGTGGCACACACCTGCAGCCCCAGCACTCAAGAGAAAATGCATTTTCATTAATTATATCCTGAAATGATATTATATTCTGATTCTATATTTCAAATAGAAATGCAGCCTCTACTAATAGCAGTGGCCTCCTCCATGTGTCACTCCTGTGATTTCACTTCACCGCGAGCATGCTAGACTTGCACAGCTTAGGAAAGAACCCTATTTGGGGCAGTGTACTTAGTTTTATCTACAGCCACAACTAAAGTCTTGTTTCAGAGTGAATAGATTCATTTGGCTCAACAATGCCCTAGGGGGATAAAAGCTTAAATGTATTCAACCTTAGGAAGGGCTGAAAACATCAATACTTTCATAAAGCCACTTTGATTTGTATTGACTTCGGTTGTGCTGCTAATTCATATACATCATTGTTTACTTCACAGAGCTTTTAACGTGACTTTTGATTTATAGAAATGGTGATTCAATTTCTACTGAGAAGTGGTAAGCTCAAACCTCCCTCAGATTCTCACCGTCTCTGATGTGACAAAATTGAAAGAGAAATTCTCTTGTCACAGTATAAATAAATTGCTGAATAACAGTTTATGGCATTTTTTTTTAACTTTCATGGTAACAGGTAATACCAAAATAGATCGTCCAGATAAGGATAATCAATTACTTAAGCATGTTATTAATGTGTTCACAGCAAAACCATTGACACGCGTTGGGCCACGGTCTGCGAGCCGGATGCATTTCCCACTCAGAAGATCCATGTCAGGCAAAGGAAAAAATTTCCAGACCTCACCGTGTTCTGTCATTTGTTTAGTGCTGAGTCCTGGGAGGCTCTTCTTTACAGGAACCACTTGGGAATATTACAAACCTCCATAAATAACTTACCTTTTCCACACGAGTCACAGAAGCCACACTGGGTGAGAGTCGTGGTTTTGTTTATTTGATGCTATATCAAACGGAGACTCTGAACATCTATTCTAGCAGTTCTTTTTGTCAGCCACTGAAATAAATGACTTTAAACAAAACTCAATGAGCTGAACTGGAACTGGACTTTTTTATTTGTTGATTCATTCCCACACTTGAATAAGAATTGAAATAGTTTGGATTTTCATGTGCTAAAGTCTTATCCAGAGATGCAGTAAAACACAGGAGTTACTTTTATCAAAAAATTTTTTTCATTGCTCAAGAAATTGCATAAAAGTCACACTTATTCAGACACAGAACTGAGAACACAGGAGGGCAAAAGGAGGATGTGAAAGCCGCTTTCCCTTTCCTTGGATGAGCAGGGGCCTGAACAAACCGCATCCATGGCCAAGGAACGTTTCAGTTCTGCTGGAGACAAACTCAAAGGCTTGAGACGGCCTGGCATCCCACAGTTAATTAAAGAAGTGAGTGAAGGCATCAAGGCCTGCTCCCTTCTGCCTGAATAATTCACCACCTTTATCCATTATTAAAACCCGTTCCTTCACCACAATGATTCCCAGCTCGAGATGGATTGGTCTCAAAACCGAGAGATAAATTGTAACAAGGCCTACAGCTATATTAATAAATTGAAATGAACATTTATTTGCTCATCTAATTAGAACAGTAGTTTTTCCAAATAGTGCAGCAATGCATTACCTTGACAGCCAGCACTACCTACCTTCTGTGAGATAAAATGAACAGGAGGGCTTTGCCCCAGATTTGAGGCGTCTTTGCATAAGAAGTTCTTTGGTCACCGCTGTTCCTTTTAAACCATTCATTCCGCCACTATGTTCTGCCTATCCTATCTCTCCAGGATTGATGGGAGCTTAGCTTTTGAGGTACTTCGTCAGAAGGCTGCAAAGAAATGTGCATACAGAACAAGCATTCTTCTTTTGTCCTGTTTTCTTTTTAAGTGTAGCAGGGGGAAAAGAAGAGAATTTGAAGATTTCCCCGCTCCCCTCCCCTTCTCCATTTCCCTTCATTAGGATTACAAAGCCTCCAAGCTCAGAGGTTCAAAGGACTCAGGGTCTGGCCGAAGCTGGCTGGCTTCCTGGCTCAATCACTATTTTCATACGGCCTCAGTTTCTTCCTTAGCAAAAGGAAAATAATCATACCCAGTTGGGCAGGGCCCACGCACAGTTTAGAGCCAATGTAGGTAAAGTGACAACTCATAGTGGGTACCTAGTCAACGGTCAGTCCTGCTATTATTCAACAAATCTTGCTGTTTCCTGTTTGCAAATTAAGTTTTAAAAATTATTTTCTCACATTACCACAGAGTGGTCTTTATATAACATGGTTAAGTCTCAGTTTCTGAAGGACAAGAATGAATAATATGGTGTTACAGCACAATAACATGTTCTCATTATGAGTGATTCCAGTGAGGAAAGCCTCTGTCCCCAAACTCGATTATAAAGTCTTTGGCGGGGGTGTTTGCCTCTCTCCTTCCCTCCATGAACTCCGGGTGTGGCAGGTGCTGGTAGTGGAAGAAGTGTTATTGCCCAGCATCTTGCCAAGTGTGCCCTGCTCTGTCTGCCCCGTGCACTGACGCACACAGAGGCTCAGAAGCTGGGCCTGCTCCTCACACAACCAAATCGATTTTGTATTTCTCAAAACTATGGTCTCTTGTTCTCCTGAGAGGAATATATTTTCCCATTCTTAAAAGTAGCAGAAATCATATTCACCACGTACTTATTTCAAATTAAAGCCCAGTTGCTTCAGCACTTTCCCTTTGATAAAATGGGGAATTTTTTAAAATAACACATGACTAGATTGCCAAAATGAACATCTGGTGCCCTGATCTGCTCTCCACCTTGGAGCTAAGGCAGGGAATAGTGATGGTTTCTTCTTTGGCAGGTTCTGCTGAGGGCCGCACTATAAAAGCATGCAGTATAAAACTACATTTGATAAAAAGAGCACTTTCTCACTCATTTCTCTCCTTTGTGTTCAGGACTGCTGAGGAGGACAAAGTAGATTTGAAACTCTGCAAGTAAACTTTAGAAAAAAGAAAAACAATATCAAGTGATACATTATCTAAACAAACAAATATAGGATTTTTTTCAAGAGATGGTTCTTAATCAATAAAAAGCATAAGGAAGCAGGATTCCAATGAGACACTACTTTGGTACCTGCCCAGGCTCCATGCTCTCTGTGTACTGATGATGTTTAAAGATAGTATATATACGTTGAAATGAATTTTTTTATTAATTTACTGTTTTTCTATTTAAAATTAGTGTAAACTTAAGATTGAAAATCAACTGGTTTTAGTTTAGGAATGCAGTACATGCTTAGCACAGCAAGACCCTGAGTTTGCTCCACAGTGAGTGTGGGAAGGGAATTAAAAATCCAATGTGCATAGGTTATAAAGTAAAATATAGCAGAGTTTTTCATTCCTCAGACCAGTTTTGAAAGCTTCCTGCAAAGTCCTCTAGAAATTTGCATGCATTATATACATAAAATTTCACGAAATTATATCATATATTTCCTGTATTCTTCTGTTTTACAGAAAATGAGCCTGAGCCATACATATTATTTTACAATTTTAAAAAACTAAACATAATATCATACAAAACTTTCCACATAGCTTTGTCTCCTTTTACAATTATAAACTATTTTTAAACATTTACAATACTGTGCTGCATTTAACCATTCTTCTATTGATGGGCATTTAAATTATAACTTTTGGAACTGTAAATAATGCCTCAATGAACATCTTTCAAGAAATATTTTTGTTCACATGTTTGACTGAACTGATTTGTACAATATGTTATTTCAGCAAAGAATATTACCTATTTTTCTCAAAATGTAGCTTTAAAAACACGTTTTTCCTCTATTTAGAAAGGTGGTTCTATAACTCAAGGAATATAATTAATATCTAGTCAAGCCAGAGTAAATGCTTCTTTTTTAGCAATTAGCTATGAATTACAATCATTTAATGGCAACAATTTGACAAATGTAGTGCTCATTCATTAATTAGAGGCTTTGTAATACACCTCTTTCAACCAATGAAATGCTTGACCTGGTCTCAGTTTGGTGTAGAAGAGTCTTCAGGAAAGAATTTTAGAACTGCTTCTAGAGATATTTCCACCATAGTAGTCCATTTTCTATGGCTGTAACAAAGTTCAAGAGGCTAGGAACTTTACAAAGAAAAGAGGTTTATTTAGTCCACATTTCTGGAAAGCTAAGAGCATGGTCCCAGCTTCTGCTTGACTCAGATGAGGGCCTCAGAGAAGATGGCATCATGATCACAGAAGCACATGTGGGAGACACCACATGGCAGGACAGGAAGCCAGAGACCGGGCAGGGGGTGGTCTCACTCTTTACAGCAGCCATTCCTTTTTCCCTTCCTGCTCCATAAAATGTCAGTACTGCTGAAAGTCACCTTAAGTCACTGCAAAAAGGAAAATATTTTGAACACTGAAGAGCAGAAAGATGCAAAGGCAACATGAAATTAAATATGAGGTTCATCTCACTTACACTTAAACTGTTAATATGAGATAGCTAAGCTTCTATTTTCTTCCCTAATTTACAGTGTATTTGGGGTTTTGTTCTAGGACTCAAACATACATCCTAGCTAATAAAAGGTCCCCACTTTAGAATTCTTAAACAACTTAGATTGCAGGTCTTGGATAAAAAGATCTCACATGGAGGTACTATATTCTTCTACCACATCTGTTTGTAAACTGTGTGTTTCTTGAATAGGTTTATCTTTTTCCATGGGCTTTACTAATAGCGTTAAAAGGTCCAACAAATGCCATCATTCTGTATCTGAAAGTCAGTAGCATGCTTTCCTATAGTCTGAAAAAATAATTTGCCTCCATCCAAAAAAAGATTTGCCCTATTTTAGCATGTTCCCTCTAGCATGAACCACCAATAATACCTACATGGCTGTCCCATCTGGTAGCTTATATTACTGATGGCACAAAGAGATCTAACCACTGTTACTATTTCCTTTTTATCAATAAAATTAATAAAAAACCACCCACCCAACAGGACAGTCATGTGTGTACCACCAGTGGTTCAAGCCACCCAGCAGCAAGACGTACAAATGATGGCCCCATTGTGAATGCGTTAGTAGAGATCATGGACCTTTACCTGCCTGAAACACCTGCCTTCACAATCGTACCTGTTTCACCAACAAATCAGCATTTAGCATTCTATTATTGAAGCACTTCTATACTAATACCCTTTACTAGTTTCTGATATCATATTCTATCTCAGGAATCACATTTGGCTATAAAACAGAAAACTGAAAACTAGTGGTTTGAAAAATGTGTGTGTGTGTGTGTGTGTGTGTGTGTGTGTGTGTGTGTATGATGTTGGGAAGGCTACACAAAGAGAGATTCACTGGCCCTAAGGTTCTCTCCACTTTCATGATCTGTTGAATACAGCTAATTAGTTTCATCTATTAAAGGGAACTGCACACAAGCAAACTGTGTGTATCTAGCTGCTTCTGTCCAGTTTTTATTAGTCTTAAGTAACTTCTGTATCACTGGCCAAATGTATGTTATATAATTGTTTCTTACACCACAGCAGTCTGTGAGTATGGCTTTGTAACTTGAGCCCAGAGCCACTTACACTAAATAAGGACTGTGGTAGTCAAGACAGTCAGAGCAGATTGTTTTATTTTACACTGGTCATTATCTGCCCTAAAAATTTGACATTTTGAGGATATACCTCAATGGAAGATTTGGCATTATCACAATCCCAAAAGTATACATATGTATTACCTTACACACACATGCACACACACACACATACTATATATATATATATATGACAGAGAGCTGTTAAAGTCCACCTAAATAAAATGATTTTATCAGTAAAATCCCCCATTTAGACATCTTTACTAAGAAATTCTTAAAAGGCACACATAACTCAGATAGCATAACTTATGATCAAGTTTCAGAAATAATATTATCATGTATAAAGGACCATAGATCCCCAATGTTCCATTTTGGGAAAGGTTTATTTTTTATGTCTAGCTCACATGCTCAAAGAAGAATGCTACAATAATGCCAACAAACAAACAAGAATGTTTCCGAACTCTAATCTCACACTCGGCACAGAACACTTTGGGATCACATTGTAAAGGATTTTGCCCACACCAAGCAGTTCTCCAGGGTGTGCCAACTAGGTGTCCCACAAGTCATGAACACTGACACATCTATTTGGAGATAGTGTCAGATCTCACACTTTGGGATTCAATCCCACAGGATGGTCCTCCACTTCTCATGCCAATTGCAAGTCCAGTCTAAATGTATTTCCTTCCTTCTTGGCAGTGCTAGGGATTAAACCCAGGGCCTTGCACATGCTAACCAGGTGCTATACCACTGGACTAACACCCCAGGCTTTGGACCTCTGACTCACTGGTAACATCCTGTGACAGCTGTCTAGATGTCGCCCAAAGCCTCATGCAGTCATAGGTGTGGCTTTTTTAGAGGTGGCTGGATCTAGAGGGTGTGACACTGGATTTGGCTCATGGTGCAATGCTAGGATCAAGGGCACTAGGATCGGGGATGTGAGTGTTCCCCACCCTGAGTAGCCTGGATAAGATATAAGGGGTAAAAAGAACTATGGTCATCCTTTGATTGCTTTGCTACATTCTGCCTGCAGTGAACTGTTTCTCCTCTGTGATGACCCTCTGCCACACCACCCTGCCTTGGAGCCAGCCTATTATGGACTAATCCTTCTATACACTGTGAGCTAAAGAAACTTTTCCCCATTTAACTTTGGGTGTTGGGTATTTTGCCTCAGCAACAAGAAAAGTACCTAAGACATACCTATAGCCTCTCCTTGATGTCAACTAATTTGCTAGGGCAGAGCTCAAACTCAGGAAAACACTTGTTTCTCCCAGACTGTAAAGGATGCAGATGAACAGGTAGGTGAAGAGTTGGACAGAGTGAGACCTGGGTGAGGACTGAAGGAGTGAGACTTCTGTGCCCTCCCTGGCTGAGATACTCCCTTAGCATCACCATGTGCAGTCAGCAACCAAATTTTGGCATTCGACGATAATTTTTATGGAGTAGAATATCTAACCAGCTTTCCCCTTCCCAAAGATTGGTAAAGTGGGACTAAAAGTTCCAGCTGTGTATGTAAGGTGGTCATCACTGGGTCTTTCTGGTGACTGGCTACTGGCTCCACCTGGTCTCCTTGATCTGATCGCATTAGCTCAGGAGTTATCAAAGATACTTGTTAGGAATGACAAGGAGATGCCTATCACTCAGGAAGTTTCAGGGGCTTTAGGAGCTCTACCACAAGAGTCACAACAAAGACAGATATGTTTCATTGTGTGTAACATACATGAAACTGCTTTCTAAAACAAGAGACAGAGGGACTGGGACAGATCAGTACCCCAAGTGATATGACTCAACTCAGTGAGTCAGTCACACCTTTCTTTCTTGGAATCTCAGGCACTCGAGAGAAGAATGCAATTCAAACATGCAGGGTTTCCAGCGCACTGTTGGTGATGGTCTGTGGTCACTGTCATTTTTCTCTTTTGAGGGATTTAATTTGTCCCTATTATGTCATGGTCATGACTGAGGGATCTGAGTGGCCATCAAGGCACTGCCTTTGAAGCAAAGGGTCGGTGCATTAGTACAAAAGGAAATTAATCTAGTGTGCTGGCTCACCAAAAGGAGTTTAATTCATCTGAAGGGAATGACCAGGGTTCCTATTCTAGGTCTCCCTCTGGACCATCAGAAGCCTCCCTCCTCCCAAACAAGAACTTCATTAATGAATATTCAATGGAAAGTATTACTTCATTGTCAGCTCTAATTGCTAGTTTTACCTTATTAGTAGAAGCTTTTCTGTGGCTGAGCCTGACATGCATTTGTTTGCACACTGTTATTAGTCAAGACTCAGTGAAGTCTTGTAATTAACACCTCCACATTATCTCATGCAGTGAAAGCAAAGACAAAACCAGATGACTCACTTTGTTTCAGCTTTGCTCTTGTTTTCTGATATAGAAGCACTTAAGGAGAAGTGTAAGCTCATCAGAATGCCACATGGAGCCAACAGAAACCATACAAAGGTTTCCAGGAAGCAGTGCATGGAAGTTCATTAAGTGAAAACACGAGAGTCAACATCCTGACTGAAAACTGGACCCACAGTTAGAAAATTGCACAGGCGCATTACCTGTATTGTAGTCAGCAGTAATGCCAGGTCACGGAGGAAAGATCCATGTTCCCAAGAAACGGGGGAGATAACATATTCTCTGTAAACATAATGTAGTTAATGATTCACATGACAGTTAAATAGCTTTCAGAAATCTTATCAGTTTGGAGATAAAGCAGACCAAGGCAATAACTGTATTTTAATCATTCCTACCATTGAAAACACTATGTCCCAAAGTTGGCTCCCAGCAGCCTATAATTGATATTTCTGTAGAGAACGGGGTTGAGAGACTGGGGAAACGTCAACAGTTCATATTTCAGTTTTACATTTGGGAAGAGGTCTTTCTCTCAGTGCTTCTACCACTGGAAAAAAAAACTTTTCTAGAAAAAAACATTTGAAAAAAACAAGATACCTTGCTTTCCTTTAGTTTTATGAATTTAGCTTGCCTTGTTTGAATTTTTTTGAATTCCAGAAATAAAATATCAAGCTGAAATATTACCTGAAAATTTGACAATTAAATCTACAAAATCGGGGCTGGGGATTTAGCTCAGCCGCAAAAGTGCCTGCCTGGCCAGCGCAAGGTCTTGAGTTCGGTTCCCGGTACCGGAGAAAAACAAAACAAACAAAAAAAAAGAAAATCTACAAAATCTATCATACTAAAAAATTAACTTGTTGCTCACTTGTAAATGCTCATTTCCTAAAACTATAAACAAAGAGAAGAGCAGCTACTGCAACAATGGAGAAGACAAGGTATGCAGTGGCATAGTGACCTTTCAAGTGGCAAATATTCTCAATGTAATGAAAAGTTTAGCTGTTAAGTTGAAGTTGCTATTACACAGAATTTGCCCCAGCTGAAAGATCAGATAGCAAATCTTATTTACAAATGGAAATAGGCCAAAACTTTTAATGGATTTCTGCCTACGAGAAATTTCCAGTACTACAAAAGCAGCCAGCATAAATAAAAAATCAAGATTATCCACAGGTCACCTGCTCCTCAGGAAACATTGCTGGTAGGCTTGTCACTGAGGACTCCATAGGGAAATACACCTTTCAGAAAAGCATTTTTGTTGTCACCCTCATCACCCGAGTTAGAACCTTGTAATACTGGCCAAGCATTGCCTCTACACGTGAGCTCATTTAAATGGGTCACAAATGTTTCTAGAGCATTGTGATTTGAGGACATAGTAAACGTGGCAGCTTCATGGTTTCTATCTCAGGGACACTATCCCAACCCCAACAGTCAAGTCCAGGTTAAAACAGCAGAGCTTCTGGCAGACAGAGCTTTGGCTATCTGTACTTGACCTTAGCCTAAAAATAACACCATTAAAACACTTCCCCGTACACACCACTGTGCATGCTTTTGGCAATAGCTGGCCCCTCAGCCTCCTGATCCAGTCCTGGCTGGGAAGTATGCATTTCTTCACATCTATCGCACCGAAGAGAACAATCTGAAAATAGAAATACCGGCTGTTTGTCACCACTGAGTGGGAAGGTTAATAATAGTACTGCTTCATTGTTTGGCATGGACCCAAGGCCAACCCGGCCAAGGAGCAGCACACGCTGCTGCGGCAGTAACCAAATCATAACATTTCTCCTGGGACCCGGTGCAGCTTTTCAGAACATGTTTTATATTCTGAGATTGCTTGGGAAGGAAATAGTTTAGAAGTTGTTTTGACATAAGTGTGGTTTGTTTCCAGGGAGGAGGGGGGGAGGGGCGGGGAGACCAGCCAGGAGGTCAGCTGCAGCAGGGAAGCAAAAAAACGCCGTTAAGGAGCTCCTGACAGGTGGTGATAGGGCTGCGGCTCTGCAGCCAGAGGCCTGGCGGGGAGTTTGTTCCCGTCGCGTTCCCAGTGTGCGCTCCGCGCTGCCTTTCACACTCCTATTATGTTTATTTCTGTTGAACTTAAAGAGTGACCTTTTCAAAACTGCAGTGCATTGTTGACCCACATGCATTTTTGAGACCTAATTTCCCTGAATGCCTTCCTTGTTCCTGCAGAAGAGAACTCTGTTTGAGAAAATAGGAAGAGGCCGGGAATAAAGAGCACTGGAATGGAAATCTTTCAGGCATTGAATCGTGCCTGCTATTAATAATTTAGAAGTGTTTTTAATGCTCTGATATGGAAGGAAGGTTTTTTGACACCAAAGGCATCTAAATATTAATTTCAGAGGAATTGGTTGTTACAAGCAGTTAACATCCATTTTGTTAGTTGACCTCCCAAGGAAGGTTAATGCACTAAAATCTGGTCATTAAGTATAGTAACAAATGTTTTTTCAGGGAGGTTATTACTATCATAAACTCTAATCCATGGTTCACAGCAGCAGCCTCTAGTGCAGTGCTCTGGCTAATGAAGAATTAACTATTTCTGAGCAGTTAATAAAGATTTTTTTCTCCCACCAATCAACATTCTCTACATGATCCTTATAATTACTAAAAACATTAAGCCCTGGGAACGAGCGCCCACATGTCAGACCAGAATTCTACTCCAAGTGAATGACAAATGGCAAACCGAATCCCATTTCACTTATTTTTTTTTTCTAACATGTTCACTGAAATCAGAAATAATGGAATTCCTCAGTATTAGAAAAGGATCATCTACTATGAAGAGTGGGCTAAATGAGTATTGATGAGGTCTTCAGGCATATTTCACTGTGATGAAAGAATCTGTGTTCTGTTTTAGATCTTATTGGAATCAAGAAGTTAATTGGCTACAGATAGGGTGGTTGTTGTTATTGGGGGTTTTTGCTTGTTCATTTGTTTTATTTTGTTTTTCCTTCATTAAGAAGTGTACTCATCCACAAGAACACAGGAAGCAGACTTGTGCGAGAAACACCGATATATCTGCCTCTTAACAATAAGAGGAAAAAGGTACAACCTAACCTTTCTAAAGAGCCTGGGGCAGTGTTTTGCCTTTCAATGGAAAGGTCATCCAGAATTAATTAAAGTCACTTTCCTGCAGAGGACCAAGCATTTGGCTTTACTTTGAAGGCTCAAAGAAAGTTGCTCATACTGATTTCTTAGAAACCCACATGTGAAGCACCACAGCCAAAGCAATGGGTCAGCCCTCAAAAACTAATCTCCTTTTGGAATCAAAAGCCTGGACAACTAATGTACTAAGGACCTAGGTGCCTCTGAAGCAGCAGGCCTGAGCTGACAGGGTAAAGGCAGCTGGGAAGAGCTGCTTACTTTCCCAAGTGCAATTACCACGCATCAAATAGGGTCAAACTTCACAGTTTGCATACTCCATTTGCTTCCTTTTAATTTTTAACTTAAGCCAAATCCCATCTTTGGGACAGACACCCCCACACCGATCAAAGCAGAAGGCAAGAAATGATTCCTTGCCAAAATAAAAGGGGCGCTGCCATGTTTAATTTTTTTAAAAGGTATTTTGGAAAGGCTTGCATTAGATATGAAAGCTTTAAAGTGGTGTCAAGTACACTGACATTATCTTCTCAGAATATATTCTCTATGGAAGAGTCTGGATCTTGTGTCTACCTAAGCAACCAGTGGGGCTGTCTTCGGGTGTTAGGAGCTGTCTGAGCGTTATTCACCCATTTGGCACTTTGCTTGCATGGAGATAGCTGCACTAATTTCCTACTTACCAGTGAAGGCCAGTGACTTAGTCTTTCTGAACCTCTGTTTCATCACCTGCAAAATGACACTATAATATCTATTTTACAGAATAGTTATAAAAATCGGTGATAATATAACCTGCTTACAGAAAGGCTGAGGATATGTAAGAATTTGTTACGTACTATGTTCATAGCTTTGTGCACTGGATCTCATTTCATAAAAGTGACTAGAATCCTAGAACGCCCTTCTCAGCCTCAAACTGGAATTGAGGGAGCAATAATCCATCAGCCTGACTTCTGAGAACTGGAATTTTATGAGTCCAGCTCATCCATCATGGCCCCATCACGGGACACAAAGCCCGCCCTGGGTAATGTCAGCCAGGAAAGAAAAAAAAGGAAAAGAAAAGCCTTCCAAATCCTGCGTTCTAATTTGCCTTGTACATTTCCCACACCAGATGTCCCACCCAAGCTCCGCTTAGACTTCTCCGTAAACAAATCTCAGACCTGTCCTTCCGGCACCTAGCCCGGTGTCCCCAAACACAGTGACCTAAAGAGTTTATGAACGTCACAGTCCCTTAGTTTGGTTCTTCTGCCTGCCTCGTCGTGGGAGAGCAACGAGCGATGGGTGACTTCGGAGGTCGTCTGTCCTTCCTTTCATCTTCTACGGCACTTCCTTCCTCCCTGCTTTCCCTACTCACTTTTACCCGCTGCCCACCATTCCCCCACAGTCGGCCAGCTGACACTAAAAAGATAGGCGAGAGGCAGGTGTGTGGATGCTGGATCACACCTAAGATGAGTGTTTGCAGACGAGGCGTTTCCTGCGCTTCGTCCAGGATTCTAAAGTGAATATGGTAAACAAGAAGCTGTGGGTTGAAACTCTATAAAGATGAATTAAATTGTCTTTTCAACTCACTGTTTTCCTAATATCCCTATGGCTGGATCCCTCATTGTGCACAGAAATCACAGAAGAGAGAATAACATTCCGGGATTACTGGTGATTTGCTGCATTGATCTCTGACAGGCTCTTTAATGTCCTTGGCCTCTAGTTTTCCCATCAACAGTAACAACTGAACTTATTCTACTTACGTCATATGCTTGTTAGGCACAGCACATGGAATAAAGTTAGTAAGGAACCTAATCAAAATACTTAATCAAAATAAAAAATATTACTCTTCCGAAACCTAAATATTTTATAAGGACTAGATTAGCTAGTGTAAGTTACTTTTTATTGACAATTAATACTGTTTAAATCAATATATTTATAATGAGAAATATTGGATTTAAAAACAAAATGCTATTAGAAACAAGAAGGAACCCTAGAAAGAGTGTTCTAGAACACCAATAGCTCGGGCATGGTGCCACACATCTGTAATCGCACGTACACAGGAACCTGAGGCAGGATTGCAAGTGGAAGGCCAGCCTGGGCAATTTAGCCAGGGGGCTAAGGATGTAGCTCAGTGGTAGAGAGGTGCCTAGCATGTGTGAGGCCTAGGGCTCCATCCCCAGTACTACCAGGAAGAAAATGGAGGAGGAGAGGCGGGGGCATCGTCAGAGTCAGCCTAATACTATACTGAGCTCTCTGCTGTTACTGTGCATATTCAGTACAAATGGAAAAAGAACATGTTTGAGACACTATCAAATCAAAACGGGTTTCCTTTTCTGCTCAGTGGTGGGAATCAAGGCTATCAGTGTAATACCCACCTCTCTCCTCTGCATGTGCGCTTGGTCATTATTTAACAGTGAGCCAATGGTCTCAGAGACTCTCAGCAAATCCTGAACATATGCAATTTCCCTTCCCACCACCAATTTTGATCAAGACTGTTCCGAAGGGTAACAAATGAATTTAAACACAGGGTCGACTCTGCAACGAGGGCTGACGCTTTGCTGCTCCAGAGGAAGGTGAATGTAATGCTTGAAACACTCAAGTGGGGGAATAATTGAAACTGGATTCAATGTCTTCATCCTCTGAGAATCTGTGTGTGTATGTGCATACTTGTATAAAATGTGTATGCGTCTGTTTCGATTCTGAAGCTTTCCCCAGCTGCTGGTAGGTTTCACAGAGGGGTTCCGGCTTGTAAAGGTTAACCGTGCAGAAATCAGGCTTTGTGCATTTCTGCAAAGGTCACACTCATCAGCAGTTCCGGAAAGACTGCTGGGCAGGGCCATGGTAACCACCCCACGACCGAACTGCGCGCTGGGTTTCATTTCCTTCAGAACAAGGCTCCAGCCCTGGGTGTGTTACCGAGAGATAAAGAGGCTGCCCAGTCACTTGAAATTCAATTTGTGCGTCACTCACATCGAGCACACCGCTTTCCTTCATGGTGTTTGGCAGCCGCTTGCTGGCACTCTGCATTTCAAATGCCTGAGCTGCAGGAAGTTGTTTAATAAATGGGATAGGTTTTGATTAATGTAACAAGCCGAAAATAGACCATGATGTAATGCATATCTCAGCAGGAATCGTAGATCAAATTGGACGATTTCAAGGGACCAGACTGTAGCACAGACTTTTCCACCAAGAAACGTATTTATGTTTTTATAGCACCTTGAAGGGTCGCACTGCAGAAGGTATGCGTTTTGGACCTGGAAGCCTGCCCTGTGGGTCTCTGAATGGCAATTATAGGTGACCACATAAGAAGCTCCGGAGAAAATGAGAAAGTTGACATGGATGCAGGTGTAAAAAGGGTCATCTCTACCTTACTATAAGCCCTCGTACTATTCTTTTAAATAACTGAAGTTAATAGAAACAAAAATAATAACATTTTGGCAGTATCTTTAAAGGATATTTAAGTAACACTTTAGTTTCATCTAATGATCTAAAAACCTTGCTGGGCATGGTGGCTCACTCTTGTAATCCCAGCACTCAGG